AGCAACGGCGGCACGTGGAGGACGTCCGCCCCGGTGCTTCTCAGCCACCTCACGTGTGTTTTGCTGGCTTGGACCCACATTCAGTGCCCGTGGACGCAGCAGTCGAGAGAGCACACGATGCGTTGCTTTGGGTCCGTCTGCTGCACAAGACCTCTCCAGAGTGCCAGAGAGCCAGGCTGCTGCTTGGAGGACTCCCGTGCACCTGACCCAAGCCAGGGTCTGGCCGATGGCCTCCCATGCATGTGGAAGTTGGACATCGGATAAGGAAGCCCCGAGAAGAATCGATGCCTTTGAACGGCGGTGGCGCTGGAGGAGAATATTGAAAGCACCGCGGACTGCTAAAACGTCAGACCGATCTGTCTTGCACCAAGTCAGGCCAGTGCTCCTCGGAGGCCAGGAGGGCGAGACTTCGCCTCACGTGCTTTGGACCTGTTGTCAGGCGAGCCCCGTCCCTGGGGAAGGACGTCCTGCTTGGTGAAACGGAGGGGCAGCAAGAGAAGGCCGTGGACAAGATGGACCAGCCCAGTGGCTGCAGCCCCGGGCTCAAGTGCAGAATGGTTGCCTGGCTGGTGCCGGCCAGGCAGTGTTCCGTCTGTGGGGCCTCGGGCCTCAGGGAGTCGGAACCGACTTGACGGCACCTGACCGTGGTGGCGGCGGCAGCACATATGTAAAGAGCGGACGGCGAATGAAGAGGAAGGGAAGCGCGATGCCTTCCGATGGGGAGTTACCTGTCCCGGGGACTGCCAGACGCACCCGCCTGAGGTCTTGGAAAAAATGCAGCCAGAGTGCTCCTTCGAAGCCAGGTTGGTGAGACTCAGCCTCACGAACTTTGGACACGTTCTCAGAAGGACCAGGTCCTGAAGAAGGACATCGTGCGGCCAAGGGAACGTGGAAGGTCCAAATATTCGGAGCGATTATGGGGAGGGGGTGAGGTCCACGGAGTGTTTCCTCCCGTGGTGTATAAGGTTGCTATCAGTGGAACTGACCAGTGGCACCTTACAAGAACCCCCGCCGGGCTACCCCGGGGACACGGGGGTTAAGTGTTTCATCACTATCTGGGAGGTCGGTGGGTTGGAGCCCACCTTGCTCCCGGCTGGGTCTCTCGAGGATCAGGGTTCTCTGACGGACAAACAGACGCTTGGCCCAACTGCACACACAGCCCCGGGAGGTTCCAGAGCGAGGCCGGAGGCAGTTGCTTTTCAGTCAGGGGACAAGTGTTCACTGGGCACCAGCCCCAAGGTTGGTGCTGCAGACAGGATGACAGACATGACAGACGTCCGGTCCGCCCCGCCCCGCCCGCCCAAAGGTTCTCATCTGGCAGATGAGACAGACTATGCCACTGCGCAGTCCTGACTCACAGGGACCCTAGAGGGCAAGGTAGACGGCCACTCCCCGTGGGTTCCCAAGGCCATTAACCTGTCCAGAAGCAGAGTGCCTCATCTTGCTCCCTTGAAGCCGCTGGTGGATTCGAACTGCTGACCTTGCAGTTAGCAGCTCAGCTGGTAATCTGCACCACCACCCGAGCTCCTGGCAGGGGAGAGGGTGAGTCAGCAAAGACAACGGCGGCCACTACAAAGGCTGTGAGAGACAGCGGACGGCCTCAGGGGGAGGAAGGACACAGCCTGTCGGACCAACCCCATGTCACCGTGATGTGGGCCACGCTGATCTTGAGGTCCCACAATGGGCCCTCTGATGACGTAGTGACTTGAGGTACAATTTACTGGCTCAAGCCATGGGCCTGTGCACCCTGCTGGTCCCCACTAGACTGAACTTCTCTGGGGTTCTGAAGCCAGGTCTGGGCCGAGGGTGGCGGGCCAGCTCTCTGACTCATGAGCTTGTGCCTCTCTGTCCTGCAGGGGATGAGCTGACCAAGATAGAGGATGAGGATGAGCAGGGCTGGTGCAAGGGACGCTTGGACAACGGAGAGGTTGGCCTGTACCCAGCAAACTACGTCGAGGCGATCCAGTGACCAGGACCGGTGGGCAGGCTGGAGGCAGGGGCCGGAGACTGCTGTCCCTGGAGTTCCATTAGCCAGTGGCCCTGGGCAGCAGCAGCACCATCGTGTGTCCCCCGACAGCCGTGTGGGGCACCCACTCCTCCTGCGAACGATGATGGTTCCGTTGCTCCCGGCTTCACAGTGTCCTCCCCAGAGGTGGACGAGCTGGTCACCTCTCCCGGGATGCAGCCCCTTCCCAAAACATGCCCAGAGCGGCCCGAGCTCAGGACAAAGTATAGCCGATATGGCCCCTGCTCGCTGGCTTTTTGGGGCCCCTCCTGCCTGCCCCCTCGCCTGTCATGCCCCACACTCGCTCCCAGCCAGCTGCTGATTCCCACGCCTCTGGCCAGCCAGCCACCTCCCACCCACACGAACAAACTCACGTGCCATTTTCTGCTTGAAGATAGGGAGGTTTCTTTTAATTTAAAGTCTCTGTCCATGAATGCCCCTCCCCACTTTGAAAAATAGACCTGCTTTTCCTCACTCATTCATTCTTAAATTGTGGCTTCGATTGGCGCCTGCCAGTCTTGACGAAATGGCCCGTTTCTCCCTGGCCCTGCTGCTGGCCACAGGAGGCGTCATCGCCCATGTGGGTGAATGGATGGAGGTGGGGGTTGCTTGTGGGTGATCTTCTAGGCCAGGGAGGGGCCTGGGCTGCGGTCCAGAAGTCACCTGCATTGGACTTGCCGAAGCCACCATAGTTAAACTTTTTACCCACCCACCCCCCTACCTCCCGCATTCCTTGCATTCGACTCTCCTGCCCGTTTACCGTTCGGTCTGATTTGGAAAACTCAAGACGGCTACTTCTGTATGAAACCAGAAGGCGTCTTCCGCCGGCCCACCCCGTCTCAGTGTCAGTCTGTAAATATTGTTTGGTATTCAGAGAATTCTAAACGCGTTTGTCTGCCGCGCTCACGAGAGTGGATGGCCACAGTCGTCGCAAACCGCTCAGAGCCCATGACTTTGGCGCAGGAGTCTGGCTCTGTTTAAGTTGAGTCCACGCCGGCTAGTTCAGGGTCAGCATTTAAGTAGCCTTAGTCCTTTCCGTAGCAGAACACTGTAAACACCCCCACCCCCACCCCCCACCCTGAGCCTACCGAGCAGCTGCACATCCCCCAGTCACAAAAGGCCGGGTCTGGCCCAGGGGGCCAGGGTCCCCCAAGGCCCCCCAGGTGGGCAGAGGTGCATACCGGAAGTGCTACTGTGATCCGGCGGGTGGTCCGACTGCTGCGGTGGCTGCCACTGCCACCAGCTCTGCCGGGACAGACACCATTTCCAGTGAGAGCGAGGCTGTGCTTGGAAATGAATGTGAGCTCGTGTTTGCTGCGAGAACTGACCAGCCAAGCCCGCGCCTGTGCTGCAGATTTACCCCAAACTGCCATGTCTCCCCAGTCCAGGCGTTTCTTCAGAGGGTAGAGTATTTTAGCAAATCAATAAACAGTTGATCTCATGAGCGTGGACCTCTTTCCTCAAGGGATGCCCCCTCACCCACGGCAGGGACCTGTGTCCTCAGCATGGGCCGGGCCAGGCTGCAGGAGCCCTGCCACAGCCCAGGGCCCTGCGCCCCCTGCCGCTCCC